TAATAACAATTTTTTTGTGATATCTGTCAAAGGAAAGGCCATCGTGAAGGTAATTGCTATCGGGTAATAGGCTATCCACCAGGCTACAGGGGAAAGAAAAAACCACTAATCAAACTTAACCACAATGTCATGGGAGAGAACAATTGGGGACCATCAAGACAAGCAAATATGTCTGCATATGATTATGTTAGTGACAAATAAGATAATATTCAGCACAAAGGGAATGCTGGAGGATCTTCTAATGGTTCTCATAATGCCTGCAAGCAACAACCATACCCTTCAGAGAGCCAACTTCACACAGCATGCCGAAAACAATTGTGGTGGTACTGTTCAAAGGTCTCAATGTCATTCAAGAGTTGAGCATGATGGCAGCAAAGGACAAAACTACTTCACAGATGACCAATATAATCAGATAATGAATATGCTTGACAACAAGGGAGTAGAGCTGGCTGGGAGCATGGCAGGTAATGCTTTCTATAACTCATCTTCTATACAGGCTTGTAAGCCCTGGATAGTAGACAGTTGAGCAACAGATCACATGACTAATAATCTGGATTTGCTGAATAACTTGAGTAATATGCATGATCTCATAAAAAGTAGTGTACTTATGCCAAATGGTAAGAATGTGTCAGTTCAGTATCAAGGCATATGTCATATTTCAAATGATTGTACCATTGAAAATGTGTTGTAAGTGCCTGACTTCAAATACAATCTGATGTCAGTCTCAAAGATGACAAAAGAATTGCAATGCTCAGTGCTCTTTTTTCCATATTTTTGTGTTTTCCAGGACCTATGTACTGGGAAAGTGAGGGGGATTCGTCACGCCCCGAGCCTACACCCTGGACATGGCCGGCACTTGAAGACCATTGCTGGCCTCAAGCGAACACTTGGCCTGGATTACTAACTCAGCGAAAGACTATATGCATATTTATAAAGATCAATAGCATACTACTCAATCTAACTAATGAAATAACTTAGAATGTTTAATAGTCAACATTCAACTTGGCCAAAATGGCAACTCAAGTCTTAACATATGAAATAAAAATTAAAGACAGCTGAATTTACTAACTGACTGTCTGACTATCTATGAAGCCTCTAAACAACTAAGGTGGATGTCGGAATAGGCCCGCGACATCCTAATGAACTAATACTAAAACTGAAAACAATGTGAAGGAGTCCTCTGGAATGCAAAGAGGCTCACCAACAGACTCTGAACTGCTCACTGGATCAACGAATGAGCCGGATGCCGATCTTAGTTACCTGTGTCTGCATCATAAGACGATACAGGCCAATTGGCATAAGTACATTGAATGTACGAGTATTCGAGTTGGAATGCTAAAACAACATAGGCTCGAAAGAGATTATGAAAGAAACACTTACCTTGGCTCTTCTCAACTCTTGAATACTTAAATAAACTCATTTCATTATAAAGAAGTTTAAAACAAGTGCAATATAAATAAAAACTGTTGAAAAACATGTTGTCAATTCATAATCATAATATCATAAAAAAGACAAACCATGCTCCCTCTCCAAAGTCTACTTGTGCAATGCATGAATGAAGTCCCATACCCCCATTCATGCTAAGTAGAACCCCGTGAGGAACCATGCTACTACTATTGTGGGAGTTTCTCTAACCGACAACCATCACTTAAGAACTATAGTGATGATATAACGGTTTACATCACGCTGCCGAGGCCCATCCTATACCTTGCCGTGATATAGGAAGCTAACTCACTAAGTGGATCCACTAGTCTATGCGAAAATGATTCATCTAAAAAGTATGACCCTTTTCTACCCATGATGTCTACATGGTTTATGGAGACTTGAGTTAATATAAACTCGCATCCCATATCGGTGCTCAATACTACTCCCAAAAATACTTAGTTCTTTATGTTTAAAAACATACTTCTTCTATGATTTGAGATTAGTGCTCAAAAACTTAGCTCAAAAGCTATCTCAGAAATCTTAGTTTCCCTGCTTGCTTCATTTAGAAAGCTATTTCTCTTTTCTGAAAACTAGGCCAAAGACTCTTTGAAAATCTCAGTTTCCGTTCTTATTTAAATGTAAAAATATTTTAAATCTCTTTGGGAATACTTAGTCCCCATATACTTTTGAAGAAATGAACTTATATCTTTACTCAACTTGAACTGTAAGTCTTAAAAAGCATTTGCAAAAGACTTCTTGAAAAGACTCGAAGAACTTCCTAAACTTGGCTCTTAACTTTTCTTGAATTTGAATTTATGGATTCAAAGCTATGATTCATGTTTTTGGATGATTTCTAGATGTTTAGAAGTCATTTAGAGTAGTTAGAATCAATAGGAAGTGTTAATACACTTTAGAAGGACTTAAATAGGCTAAACGACGAAAACTGGTGAAAACAATGATTTGGGCGCATCTTGGGAGCGCCGCGCCAGCCCCAACTTACTGGGGCTCAAATCTGGCGCACTGTTGGCGCGCCGCCCCAGCCTGCCTGGCGCTATGGGGGCGCGTCGCGCCAGCCTCCCTTCAGGCAAAATTCTAACGACCTATTGATCTTGTTTTCTGATCCTAAATCATTTGAATTCGATTCTTTTTTTGAAATTCACTTTAGATTCATGTACCCATATCATATACACAAAATCTAACCCAACAACTTAAAGAAACAACACTTAATCATCAAGAAACTCCTTAATCCCAACTCATGTTCAAGAACGAAATCAATTCAAGAACAACTATCAAGAACATCAAATTCTCAATCTTTTTAGGACGAAAATACGCTGAATTTAAACATGCTTGGCGCGTGGGTGAACTAACCCAACGCTATGTGATCTCACATACCTTGTAGGGATCCCCCTGACGAAATCCACGAGCAAAGCTCCAAGAAATCGACGAATCCTGAACGTTCTTGCTTCCTCTTCTCCTTTCTCCTCTTCTTTTGTTTTCTCTCCAAACCCTAACTCTTTTGGTAAAAGTGTAAACTGATCTAATTCAGCTTAGATCCCACATTAATTACCCAAAAAACGAATTAAATAAAAGGTTAAGGAAAAGACCAAACTACTCTATAAAAATCCGGATTGGACTTTCCTTATTCCAATAGCCCAACTTCCAAAGGGTATAACTCACTCATACGAACTCGGATTTGTGCAAACTCGGCGGCGTTGGAAAGATACTTCCAAGAGCTTTGCAACCATATCTGGAAGTACACCTAACTCATCCTGAGCTAGGAATTATTGCCTTTTGAAGTTGACCAAAACTCAACTTTTCCTAACTTAAAACAAATATCCAGATTTTAATTCTTTTAAAAAATGACTATTTCCAATTATAAGCTTCTTCCTAGTTATTTCAAATTGTGAGATGTTACAGGATTGGTAAAGAGAAAGGAGGTCTCTATTTCCTACTTCCTAGGACTTCTGAGAAGGTTGTTGATAAAAGGGTAAATGCTAGCAGCAATGTTACAAAAAAATTGTCTAAAGATGTGCAAGTTTGGCATAAGAGGCTGGGTCATGTACCTGCTGTTGTCATAAAGAAGCTACATTTCCTACAGAAATAAAGTGCCACTTTGTAGTTTTAATGATTGTACTGTTTGTCCCTTACCTAGACAAACCAGAAAACCATTTCCTCTTAGTATTTCCATAGCAACTGATGTTTTCCATTTATTACACATTGATGTATGGGGTCCTTATAGAGTCCCTATTATTACTGGTCATAGGTACTTTCTCACTATTGTGGATTATCATTCCAAGATGATTTGGGTCTTTTTAATGAAACTCAAAAGTGATTCATTTGTGTTACTACAATCCTTTGTCAAAATGGTTCATGTTCAGTTTACCAAGCAGGTGAAAATGATCAGGACTGATAATGGTGCTGAGTTTTTTACTAAGGAGTTCTCAGAATTCTTGGTCAAGCATGGTATTGGACACCAGAGTAGTTGTCCAACACACTCCATAACAAAATGGAGTGGTGGAAAGGAGACATCGACACATTCTAGAGGTGGCAAGGGCAGTCAGGTTTTAAGGTACTCTCCTATTTCTTTTTGGGGTAACTGTGTACTGGCAGCAATATATCTCATTAATAGGTTACCATCAGTGGTTCTAAATGGGAAGTCTCCCTATGAGGTTTTCCATGGTCATACTCCATGTCTTTCTCATCTCAGGGTTCTTGGATGTTTGTGTTTTGCCACTGTCCCATCCGAAGTAGACAAGTTCTCCCCTAGAGCAATTCCTGCAGTCCACATAGGGTACTCCTCCACACAAAAGGCCTACAAACTGCATGATTTCAACTCTAGGAGGTTCTTTGTCAGTAGAGATGTTGTGTTCAAGGAACATGTTTTCCCTTTCTTGTTACTGAAAACCAGAAAACACAATACTCCTATGTTCTTTGATCTATCTAGTCCTGATAATATGCCTTCAAATCCTGCACCTACTGATTCTATCACATCTCTTTTATCCGCTGATTTGTCTCTCATCTCACCACCAGTTGAGTCTTGTCCTACCCCTTCTATATCTGATCCTTATCTTTCCTCACAACCTCAGTTAAGGAAGTCCACTAGAGGTACCAGGCCTCCAACTTGGCTTCAGGATTATGTCCATCATGTTAAGGGGAATGTTGCTTGTTTATATCCTTTGTCCAAGTTTATCGACTACTCTGGTCATTCTTCCAAATGTCAGTCCTTCCTGGTTGCTATTTCATCTGAAGTGGAGCCTACTTCCTATGAAGAAGCCTTAAAGGATCCTAGGTGGATTTCTGCTATGCAATCAGAGATTGATGCACTGGTTCAAAATCACACTTAGGAGGTTGTTCCTCTTCCTAAAGGCAAGAAACCTATTGGTTGTAGGTGGGTATACAATATCAAGTATCAATCTAATGGTGCAATTGAGAGATTTAACTCCAGACTTGTTGCTAAAGGGTACAATCAACAAGAAGGCTTAGATTATTAAGAAACATTTTCCCCAGTAGTCAAAATGGTAATTGTGAGAGCTGTCATTGCTTTGGCTGCTATGCACCAATGACCCTTGTTTCAAATGGATGTGTATAATGCCTTTTTGCAAGGTGACCTTAAGGAAGAGGTGTTTATGCAGTTTCCTCCAAGATTTGGTAGTCAAGGGGGTGATCAGGCATGTAGACTCCTCAAATCTCTTAATGGCCTCAAGCAAGCCTCTAGAAAGTGGAATTTGAAGATCACAAATACACTATTGTCAGCTGGTTTTATTCAAAGTCAACAGGATCATTCCTTGTTTGTTTTGAAAAGAAATTCTAGACAGGTGATTATCATTGTTTATGTTGATGACTTGTTGATTACTGGAGATGACAAGGACCTTATACAAGAGGCAAAATGTGTGTTACATGCAGCCTTCAAGATCAAGGATCTTGGACCATTGAAGTATTTTTCGGGAATAGAAATATGCAGGTCTAAGAAAGGTATTTTATTATGTCAAAGAAAGTACACTCTGGAGCTTATAGCTGAGTTGGGTTTGGGTGGCTGCAAGCCAACACTTACACCACTTGAGCAAAATCAGAAGCTAACAAGCTTGGAATATGATCAACAATGTGGTGGTCTGGAAAATGATCCACATTTGCCAAATGTGAGAGGGTATCAAATGTTGATAGGAAAACTACTTTATTTGACACTAACTAGGCCTGACATTGCCTATAGTGTTCAAACTTTAAGCCAGTTCATGCAGGATCCTAAGAAGTCTCATTTAGAAGTAGCACACAGGGTGGTCAGATATCTCAAAAATGAGCCAGGACTTGGTGTTCTAATGCATGCAGAAGGAAAAGGTATTTTGACAGTATTTTGTGATGCTGATTGGGCACGTTGTCCTAACTCAAGAAGGTCTGTAACTGGTTACACTGTGAAGCTTGGTCAATCCTTGATATCATGGAAATCCAAGAAGCAAAACACTGTAGCTAGTTGTTTAGCAGAATCAGAATACAGAAGTATGGCTTTAACAGTGTCTGAGTTGATTTGGCTGATTGATTTATTCAAATGTGTAGGTGTTGATGTTCCTACACCAATTCAGCTGTTTACAGGTAGTAAGTCAGCCATGCAAATAGCAAATAATCCAGTGTTTCCTAGAGGACAAAGCATATAGAGATTGATTGTCATTTTATAAGGGAGAAGGTGCAACAAGGTTTGATACATCCAGAGTATGTCTTAACAACTGAGCAGGAAGCAGACTTGCTGACAAAAGGACTTGGAAGCTGTCAACATTATCATCTACTGTCCAAGCTAGGAGTCTTGAATGTGTTTACAACATCTAGCTTGAAGGGGATGTTGAGATGATTGTAGAGAAAGGATGAAATAGTAATTGTATTACTGGAATTTTGTTATAACAGATTATGTAGTAGTTAGTTAGACTAATCAGTTAGTTAGTCATTCTATAAATAGTAGTAGATACACTAAATGTACATTCATTCTGTATTCATTCTAATCAATACACACAAGCAGTTATTTACTCTCTCTGTTAAGCTCTAAGAATGATCTAGAAGGTCTTCATCATTTCTTCAATGGACGTTTTATCAAAAATTAGTGGCATAAAATAAAATTTTAATAAGAAGTCTTTAGTATATATATATAAATAGACAAAAAAATAAAAATTAAGAGTTATATTTTTTTATTTTTTATATATACTTGTTGCTTTTAATGTAATATTTTTAGATGATATAGTAAGGCCTATATATAACCTCATATAGAAATATAAAATTAAATATTAATCCTACTTAATAAAAGATTAGCCATGTATTTGCAATTCATTACCTTGGATATTATTGTAAGAACTTTACTTATTAATAGGATAATTTAAGTTATTACTTAATTCAAGTTCTAAAATATTTTTGATAAACCATAGATAGTTTTTCTTGCTGTCCTTTTAATACTTAACTAATTTGAACCTTTTTTATTATGATCCTCAATTTTGTTTTAAGTGAAAATAAAATCATAAATTTATTATCAAAAGAATTTTGAGGCTTCAATATTTGAGGTCCTAAAGTCAACGTTTTACTAGCTTCACATCTGAGTAACGAGTATATATTTGCTATTGTTCTAGCGGAACAATTTAATTTTATAGTTTTTATGAGAGCAAACTATCACACTGCACCTAATTGAGTGTACTAATTCATTACTTGTTATGTTCGCCTGTTCAGATAAAATGATTAGGTTAAAATCGTATCATTCAAAAAATATTTGGTATAAAAAGATTAGGTTAAAATCGTATCATTCAAAAAATATTTGGTAGATTCATCATAGGGAAGAGCAAAAGAATTTCTTAAAATGTGTTATCTAATTGTTCAATGCAATAAAAAATTATTTAAAAAAAATAATAACACAAAACCTAAGGTGGAAAAATCTATGATAATTAATAGTGTCCACAAGAGTGCACTATGAATTTCAAGTCTCATAAAAATTAGTATGGATTTCTTAGAAAAAGACAACTATGAACTTGTCTTTTTCTTTGCCACAACAAAAACGTGGAAAACTATTATTTTTAATTAAAACGAAGAAAGGTTAAAAATATTTTCAATCCATTTAATTTGATTCATCATTGCACTTAGTCAATCTATAATTACAAGGTATAATCACTAATTCACTATTAACAAAACAAAAGACCCACAAATCTTAGTTTATTGTTCTCGGGAATCGGGATAATATCTGGCTTAGTTAAAAATTATGCTTCTCCAAATAAAGATTTTTTATTATTCTCCATATTCTATCCTCCATAATAAATATTTATTCTTCTCCAAAAATTGTATTTTTATTTTATGTTTTTAAATCACATTATTTTTTACACTACAACAAAAGCAACTTTCAGCGACAATAAATATCTACATTAACAAAGAATGTTAAAGTTTTTACCGGTATTAGTTAATTGTCATTAGATTCAATGTCGCTATAGATTTTAGAGACATTTACAAAGAGTGTTAATTGCCGCTAAAGATCATTTTTGGTGTAGCGTGGATAAATATGGGAAGTTAGGTCAATGTCCTCTCCTTTTTGTTTTTTGTAAATTTACAATTAGATAAATAGACAGTAACATGATCTCTTAAACCCATAATTTAATTTTAAAAAAAAATTGGAGACCCATTGAATTAACGTTTTTCATGTTATCCTTTTCAAGATTTTTAAAATTTAAACTTCGTGTCCATTAATTATATCATTGATGAGCAAAAACTTACCATTTGAGTTAGACACTCCAAACAGCTTTATGGGTGTGTTTGGTAGGAAGAAGAATATTTATCATGGAGAACAAGTTGGTTTCTTAGTTATTTTCTGTGTTTGGTAAGTAATTAAGCAAAAAAAATGTTATTTAAAAAGTATTTATATGTAGTTTAATAAAACACTATCGAGTAGAAAGGGTAGGCAGTGGGGTGGTGGCGGTCAAGAGGTGGAGTGAGTGGGAAGGATACAATAAACATACAAAATTACTTATAAAACTTATTTTTCCTACTTTAAGAATAAATATATCATAGCTTTATATTTATTTCTTAAAAAATCTACTTTTGTATATCTAGAGAAATCATCTATAAATGTATTTGGCACCTCTAATCATGTTTGTTTCAAGTCTCATAAAAAATAGTATGGATTTACTCTAATAATTCAGCATGTTATTCTAATTAGGTTGCTTAGTTTAAGCACAAATCTTACACTAAAGTTGGATGGAATATAATCTGATATAACATTATAGATAAATTCTATCATGAATATCTCAAACTTACTGGACTGATGACTGTTTTTTTTATCATCCGCGCACACAATATAGATAGATTCTATCTTGAATATATCAAGCTAGCTTACTGGATGGATGACTGTTTTTTTATCATTCGTACACAATATAGATAGATTCTATCTTGAATATCTCAAACTTATTGAAATCAGTGTTCTTTATCGTGTCCGTACATATAATACGGATAGATTGATTCTATCTAAATATCACATGTTTGTTCTTTAGCGGTTACACATTTTTGTTTTTTGTTTTTATGTAACTTTATGATTATTTCTATTAGTCTATATTTATAGATGATAGGAATGAGAACAATTGTCAGTCATCTCAATAATGGCTTCTTCTTGTTCCATTAATTCTATGTTTAAGTCTTGGTGAGCAGAGTAGCAAAACTCTCATTATTACTACACACTCGTCTTTCTTTGCAAAATCTTCTCGGCAGAGAAGGCGTAGCCAAAGTTTCCATGTCTCATGCAAGGAGAAATGTGCTTCTTGGTTTAGGAGGACTTTATGGTGCTTCCAATCTTGCACCATTAGCCTCTGCTTCTCCTATACCGGCACCTAATCTCAAATCGTGTGGTAAAGCCATAAAAACGCAGAGTACAGAAGAAGTAGGATATACTTGTTGCCCTCCTACACCAGATGACTGGAACAACATTCCATATTACAAGTTTCCTCCCATATATAAGCTTCGTAAACAACGTCCCGTTGCTCAAGACGTGACTGAGGAATATACTGCAAAGTACCAATTGGCCACTCAAAGAATGATAGACCTGGATAAAAAGGACCCTCGTTCATTCATGCAACAAGCCAATATCCATTGTGCTTATTGCAACGGTGCTTACAAATTTGGTGATGATGTTTTACAAGTTCATTTCAATTGGCTTTTCTTTCCGTTTCATAGATGGTACTTGTACTTCTACGAGAGAATATTGGGAAAACTAACTCATTGATGATCCAACTTTCGCTTTACCATATTGGAATTGGGACCATCCAAAGCGTATGCGTTTACCTCCCATGTTCGATCGTGAAATACTCCCCTTTATGATGCAAGACGTGTGGAAATGGAACCATAATCGATTTTAGTTCTCCTAGTGACGAAGTTACTACTGATGTTAAAAAGACGGTGACTAACAACTTAACTCTTATGTACCGTTCAATGATAACTAATGCTGCATGCCCTTTGCAATTCTTTGGTGCTCGTTACGTCCTTGAGAATAATGATCTGGGAACTATTGAAAACATCCCTCATACTTCGGTCCACATTTGGGCTGGTACTGTCAGAAATACAGATTTGGGTGGTGGTAAACTGTCATTCGGTGAAGTTTAGACCCGGTTTTCTATAGCCACCACGCCAATGTGGAATATATGGAAAGGATTAGGCGGGAAAAAAAGGGATATCACAGACACAGATTGGTTGAACTCCGAATTCTTTTTCTACGATGAACACCAAAGGCCTTACCGTGTGAGAGTGGGAGACTGTTTGGATACGAAGAAGATGGGTTATGATTACGTGCCAGCAGCCCTCCCATGGATCAACTGTAGGCCAACAAGAAAGGGGAGAGAAGGAAAAGTGGATTTAACAAACATTGAGCCAGCAAACAAGGTATTCCCAATTGCTAACCTCAACAAACCCATTTCGTTTTCCATCAATAGGCCAACTACGTCAAGGAGTCAAAAGGATAAAGACGAAAAAGAAGAGGTGCTAATATTCAAGGGTTTAAAGTATGATACTAGCAAATATATAAGTTTTGATGTGTTCCTCAACGAGGAAGAGAACGTGAATACAATTATACAAATGAGCTTGATAAGGTGGAGTTCGCGGGGAGCTATGCCAACTTGCCCCATGTTCATGCACATAATAAGAAAATGGATTATGGTGAGACGTTTCAGCTAGACATTACCAAACTTTTAGAGGACATTGGACTTGAAGACGATGATACCATTACGGTAACTGTGGTTCCTAAAAACGGTGGAGATGTGATCTCCATCCAAAGTGTGGCCATTGAATTTCTCGAGGGTTGAATTATCATTAATGTTTGTTCGAATCTCTCACGTATTCTCTTTATCCTGTGTAATCTTTTTTATAAATTAATTGTCGCAAAAATATCTATGTTTGACAATTCATGTAACTTTTTCTATATTTTTTTTCATAAATTTCACATATTTCAGATTTAAGTTATTGGCATTATTGTGCATTTATAACTTTGTAGTTTTGCACCCTTATTTTTTGAGTTTATATTTTATATACTGTTAGTATTAAAAAGTTAACAATATGGATTTATTTAATTTAAATTCAAATCATTTAATAAAATGATATCTGTCACTTGTATCTAGAGAAATTCAATTCAGGAGTATTTAGAGACATCGAGAGA